CTCGTTAAATGGAGATTTACAATGCAAGCTATCATCTTCACAATTGTATGTGCTAGCCATAAAAAGTACCAGAGGGAACAAGGAAATAAACAATGTAGACATTGTAGAAAAGTGAAATTACTTTTTCTAAAGTAAACTTATTTAAAATTAACACAGTTGTTAAACTGAAGCCCTTTTGCAAATTACCTTTATTCTGGGAATCTTTAATATTTTCTATTTAGCACACCCTTATCTATAAGGTCCTGCCAATAACCTCTGCATAAACATCCAAGTCTCCACATGCCTAAACTTTATGACAGTTAAAAAGCAATTTTATGAATATTTATGAAGGCACTAAATTATTAAAATAAATACAGATATTTACACAGTAGAACAACATCTTCATATAATGGATGTGGAAAAAATGCTAATATGTGGACATTTTAAAGATGAAGTGGTTTGGCCTTCAGGGCTTTTGTTACTCTATTAAAAGTTAATTTAAGACAAAAATTATGGCTTTTTCACGAATTGCAACCCCTAAAGATTAAATCATGATCAAGACACACAACATTTTTCAAAAATTGAATCTGGTAATGACATTTCCAGAGGCTGGATATTGAAACCATTGTGCAGTTCTCCCTGAAAAAGCCTCCTCTGGTTTCCTCAGCACGCTCGGAGCAGTGGCACACACTCAGATGGGCTCTGGGGCACAGGAGCTGGGTGCTACCAAGCTGCTTTTACCAATCTCTCTCCCAGCACATATTTTTCACTATTAGTTTAAGTTATCTACAAACACCATGGGCAGCTCAAGGTGTTCTTTCTCCAGAAGGTGCTCTACACCACAGGAGTGATTTGCCTAATCACTGGTAATAAACTTCAGCATCTTTCAGCAGCCATATTTATAGACCCTCCTGTGTCGCAGACATCTTTCATGAAAAATCCTTTCTTAGGATTTTTCCTTGTGAGAAGCTGCAGTTTCAGCAACCAAAGTAAACAATGGTTATCTGCTGCTGTGGAATGCAACAGGTAGACCCATGATTGGTCTCCTGTAGATGTTTAGATTTACTGACCACTCATAGCAAAGCTAACTCTTGCTCTCTGTCTGAGACACAGATCTTTGTTATTCATTCTTTTCTATTCTTAGCTTAGCTAGCTTCTGAAGAAACCTTTTCCTTTCTATTTCTTTTTGAGTATAGTCCTTATGTAACATATAAAATAATAAATCAAGCTTCTGATCATGGAGTCAACATTCTCGTCTCTTCTTCATCCTGAAAACCCTTGTGGCCACAGTCACACTCCTGGATCAAGGACATCAGGAGGCTGCTCTGACCTCCTGTGACTGGCTACTCAACCTCACCAGTGACCCCAATAACCACAGTTCCACCAAAACACAAATTTTCCTTCTAGCCAGGACACCAGGAGACAGCCACCTTCCATCTCAAGGTGTGAGAAAATGTGTTCTTCTCATGGCAATTCCCTCCAGAGGTTGTGCCTCACTTCTCTTCTACATTTGTCTCATTTCAGCTCCCTGCTTAAGAAAACTTTTCTTCTTCCTTAATCCAGCCTCCTCTTTGTTCAGCAGCAATCCAGATCTTACAATTGTCTCAGAGGAGTCACAAGATCCCTTCAGGAGCTGTTGGAACAGTTTGAATTTTCTCCTTCTGTCAGTTTTCCAGCACTGTGAATTATTGTGGCTAATGAGACCAAAAAGACTTGGTTATGCCAAGTTCCCTGTCACATGAGCGCTCCCCAGCTCAGCCCCCTGCCTCACTCTGACTTGCTATAGGAAATTGCCACTCCAGGTGCTGGGTGTAGTAAATTCCTGAACCTTCCAGCTGCATTTGAAAAGGATTTTGCCTTTGCAATACTCTTGCCTGCTCCTTGAAGCATTTCCACCATTCCTTTTCCCTCACTTTCTATATTAATCTATAATAGAGTCTTGCTCACTAACTGATCTTAGTGAGCAAGATCAGCTGCAAATGGTGAAAACCCCTTCTCAAGCCCCTGCTCCACTCTGATATTTTTATATATATAAAATACATAACACATTTTTATCTTTTTTTTTTCTAACATAGCAATGTAAACTCCTAGTTTTTTATTTTGTTTTGGGTTTTTTCCCTCCCCAGAGTCACTGCTCTTGTTGATACCCTGCTGTAAAGGTAGGGCCCAGGTTCTTTCTCTTTATAGCTGTAATTTATGATGTGGCTGAGGTAACACATTCTTTGTTTGAAAAGGTCCAGCTTAAGGGATCAGGATGTGTCTCTGTGGCTCTGGACAGGTGCCACTGCCAGGGCTGCTGCCCCTCTCATCCTGACCAGAAACCACCTTCTGATCCAGTGGAACAGAAACACAACACTCCCGGTGAAATCTGAAAACTATATCCAATTGCAAAAATTACTCCAGGTCAGATTTCTGCAAATCTTGTTCTCACAAAGCAGCTTAAATTTATGAACCTTACAGAATTTAATCAGAATTACTCATGTTTAAGACTAAACTGCATATTTTAACAGCACATTAACTTCAGGCTTTTCTGCCTACTCCAAATTCCTTGTACATTCCAATTTCAAATTATTCCAAGCTCTGAACTCTGTTGTTTTCAGTGTCTAAAGATATGAGAGATGGGCACAGCCTGAAAGACTGAAAGTACAAGCTCCAAATTATTTTCAACCTTAATCCTCCCCCAATTTTGTACCTTATCCAATCCCTAGAAACTAAATCTACACGGCAAAAATACTGTCATTTATATAAGTATATTTCTAAATATTCAAATTTCCATCACTTGGACTTAGTTCTGTAAATTAGCCCCTTGAACATGAAGCTCTTTTCTACCAGCACATCTTTTCTCTTAATATGATGTAAAAACAAAAGAAATGTTGTTCAGTTTTCATGGTGATTTTTTTTCTGCCAGCAGTAGTTTATTATTTCTTTCAGGTTTTTTTCCAAAGGACTCAGCAGAGAGAAAAAGAACAATCAAACATTTTTTAAAAAGCAAATTAAATATGCGAAAGGGGAAAATAGGAAAAAAGAACACATGAAAAACAGCAGTAAAGAGAGAAAGACAAAAAGCATAAATGTGCAAGGGAGATACAACTGAAAAATAGAGACATAATTAGAAACTGTTATGAAGATGGAACCTCAGTGCAGGGTCTATAATAATAAGACTCAAATCCAGAGTGAGATACTTGCATAATATTAAGTAATAATAATGAAAAAATTAAAGGAAATTAACATGAAAAATACAAGTTAAATACAAAAAGTGGAAAGAAACCCACTAAGTATATATGTTTATATAGCCACAGCTCTCTTATGAACTAGTGCTCTGTTTTAATGTGATGTAAAACCAAGCACATGGAAGGCAGAGATAAGGAAAATATAGGGAGAGGGAAGTATCAGCTGAAACAGAAATTTGAGACTCAGTAAGTACAGAAACATAAACATTAGGGGAGAGAAAAAGATACAAAGAGTGGATTCAGCAGAGAGATACTGGGCTCATTTAAACCAGCAGGACTTGCAGCTTAAGGCAATATTTCACATCAAATATTCCTTAGAAAAGGAGAATCTACTTCTGATAATCTTTCTACACCTTTACTGATAGTTATGAGCAAAGTAAAGCTCACAATTATTCCACGGCCAAAGAGACACAAATTATATTCTAGAAAGGGGTAGTTTACAGGCTCAAGAAAAATGGCAAACCCTCTGTGAGGAGAACATGGAAAGTAGGTTTGGGTGGTTGTAATTTCACCTCAGACCCTGAGCACACATTTGAGTCAGTCTCCTGATCACACCACACTTTGCTTTGTGCTGTGTAACAGACCCTGGATGTGCAAAACTGATTCTTTTGGAGCTCCAGAAATGGAGCTGATGCACCTCGGCCATTTAACAGCCCACATTTGGGACCAGGCTACAGCCAACCCACACAAAAACTCCTGAGATGTGCCTTGTCCTCAGCACCTTCTGTTTTCTCTTCTCCTCCAGGCTGCTTGGTAATTCAGACACAGCGAGTGTTCACAGGAACGCAAATTGGTAAAAAGTCCATCTCACAGACAGTGCTGCTACAGCAAACTTTACATCTTTATCAAATCCCTGCCTTATGAGCCCTGATTGCTGTTTCATTGGCTTTGTCAGCAGTGAGATGCAGGATCAGATCTATTGCTGGAAATGATGGGCAACAACCGAGTCCCAGCAATGACAACTGACCTTTCGCAGGCGTAATTAAATTGCATCTAAATAATTTAAATAAACAGCTAAAGCTACTCAGTTGAAAATGGCATTTTTATTGAGACAAATCTTATTCCTGTAGAAAAAAAAATTAAGTGGTTGTTTTTTGAATCTGTACTGAAGTCCTGGCTGTGCTTTCTATGGCCAACAGAGCAGGTCCCGATTTACTTAACTGCAAGATCTGGAGTCACTGCTCTTTTATAATTGCTTTTGTGAATTGGGAATGAATTGTTGAAGCATTTACTGAGCTACTATACTTTCTGTATTTTCTGAAAGTCAAACCAGCAATTTTGTTTATAAGATATTTGCAACAGAAGGCAGTTACTGGATGTTTAGAGTTTAAATGTGGTTTCTATGTTGAGTGGTTTATTATGTTTAGTGCAAAAGTGGATTAATGAGCTCCTGCTCTGTGCTCTCTGCCAGAGCTGGGGTTGGAGAGGATGGATACACATGCACCCATGTACACTGTCTCCAGACACAATCCCTCCTGCTTTATTAGTTCTTTCAGTGATTTCTTTGTTTGTCAAAAGGCTTCTAGTACACTCAGAGAAAATACAGCTGAGTACTGGGGCACTGCAAAATATACAGAAAAATAAACAACTCTTAACACATAAAAGGCACTTCAGAGTGACATGGGTGAGTATTGAGGAAGAATTTGAATGTTAATAAGTCCTGACTTATTGGGGAAAATGGGAAACTCTTTGTTTTTGTATTTTGAAACAGAAAAAAAAAAGGAAAAAAAAAAGGGCAAAAAAACCCCCACCAAACCACCAAATAAATAATTCAGCTGATGGGTAACTAACCTTATAAAGCAAAGGAGATTGTCCGAGCTTCAAAAGTGCAATTTTTTTGGTCACGTTTGTGATGGCTTGAATCCGGATCAGGTCTTCCATGGTCCCATACTGGACATCAACAAGCTCTGCCTGCAAAGAGGAGACAAAATTCAGGCTACAGTTACAGCCACACATCACTGAGAGTGCTCCTTGCATGGAAACAAAGTTGTTTGCACAAGCACAAGCATCTGAGTCCTGCAATTGCCTTACCCCAACTTCTAATCAGCAATGTCTGTAATAGCAAAGATCTTGAAAGTTCAACCTGACAGATAATTTTTTTGTGGTTTTAATTCACAATTCATAACCTATGATAAACTACACCCCCTCTTTTTTCCCAGTGGTTATAAGAGATGCTGATTCTGGTAAGACATTCCCCTCATTAGCTACAGGAATTTATTTAAAACTTTGTAAAGGATACTAATTCAGTTCTGTTTATTTTCTTTAAAATAATTAGAGTCTTGTAAAGTATTTCAGAGAATGAGTGATTTTACTGGTCACTTCTGAAAACACACAGGTAGCACAAACTCCATCAATACACAGTTTTATTTTGTGACTCCTGAGCAATCTTACCTAACTACTGAAGTATTTTATTTTAATCCATCAGTTATCCAAGCATTATACTCAGATAACTACAGTGATAACAGACTATGCTCTGATGTGTATACTTTTCTATTAATACATATTTTTAAAATTATTTAGAGTCACTTCGATCTAAAAGTGTTTAGAACATGGAAGATTTTCAGCTCTTCTGTTGGGACTCTGCAAGAAAATATAGAACAAGTTCTAAGTTATTTTTAAATGTCAAGCACTGGCAGTAATGGAAAAATATTTCAAGATGAGTTTTCAAGTATTTTTTTTAAAATATAAAATTTAAGAATAACCAAGGGCATTTTTCTCATACATTTGTAGCAATAAATTCTGGTGAAAACAAAGTAAGAGGATAATCAGTCTTGTACATTACTATTTTAGAAAGTTATGAACCGCTCAGGACATCATTGAGGACATTCTGGAACCTCTAAATCTGTACCCAGTGCTCACATAAAACACAAGTACAAAAAGACACAAGAATATTACATAAGTGTTTAAAAATTAAAATAAGAGGAGCAGCACAAGATGGAAAAGTTTTCTCTTTCAGTTCAGTTTTGTAACTTAAGTATGGATTCATTGCCAAAGGCAACAGTTCTGCTTTTGGGTATCCCTACACAAACTGTTTAAATTCTAGCAACAGTTGTTCTGGATGTGTAGGATGTGTGAAATTTTAGTAGATTCCTGAGCATGGGTATTTTAGGAAAGTATTTACCCTTAAAAAAACTGTATCTGTGTGAGTTTGCATCTCAACATTCAAGTTGAAACCATACAAAAACTTTGCCAAGATTCCTGTCTTTATAAATTCTTCAGAAAAGTTTCCAAGTCTGCAATATGTGATCAGTGCTGTACAAACCAAGTATGTGGAAAGGCCAGCCAAAGTTATAGACATTTCTGACTAGGAAAACATCAGATTTAACACCAAGTAATGAAATGTAGAACAGGAAAGCTCACACTTCACTGTTTCTTCTGAAATAGATGGGGGTTTTTTAATATCTAAAGAGCTAGAAAAGTATTTAGCCAATATAATTTTTTTCCTGTAATTGAAAAGTAGGATAAAATCAAGTAAAGATTTCATACTAGGGAAAGGTATTTTATGTTTTACCTAATCTCATGCCTCCAGTTTTAAAGAATTAACCTCAGATATGGAAAGGGTATTTACCAGGGTGCGCAAGTTCATAATTTTTTTACCTCTTTCTGCAGCTCTTATCTTTATTTTAATTTGTACCGACACATATGTCATTAGATACATGGGTTATTAGTGTCTCAGAAGTCTTATGGCTTGAGAGGTTATGGGAGGTTTATACCTAGGTTGATTTCTAGGGATTCCTCTCTCCAATTCCTTTGGACCCAATGCCTTCCTCACCTACTCTCCAAAGCAAAAATCAGGGCTGTCATTATTTGTATGAGAGAAAGCACACTGACTTTTCCTGAGGCAAAATCAATACCCAAACATGAAGATCACGAAGATCATTTGCTTCTGCAGGATGTCAGTGTGGAAATGAGCTCCCTGCCCATCTACATTCATGTGCTGCTGCTCTGCACATCCCTTTGGCTCTCTGCTTCTCCAGGGTGCTACCCACTGCTCTGTAAACAACAAAACTACATGTTTGCACAATTATTAATGTGTTTAGCAACTGCCCTTGGATGTTCTTAGTTAATTTATGGATGCAAACTGCGTCTTCAAGAGAGGCTCACTGGTCTTTCCCAGGAAACACGTGCCCAGCAAGACAGAGACAGAAAAAGGCCCTGCAAAAGCACAGCTCATTTTTTAATTATGTGGAAAACAGAAGTTGACTCCCTGCTGCCCCAAACAGGCTGCAAACCATGTGCTTCGCTTCAAATTTTAAAAGTTGGACCCAGTGCCAAAGCTATTAAGTACATTCATGCATTGAGAGTACGTGTAAGAAATTGCATAATGAAGGAGCAGCTGGGTGTAATAGAACAGAGTTTCATGGGCTTCCATCACACATCTTCCACATGAAATACAGATATGTCAAAGCTCAAAGGTTATCATATTCTGGAAATAGCATGTATAGCCTAGCACCCAGAGGTCTGCACAGCTTATACCACCTTTACCTCGAGCTAAAACGACAAAGAAAAAGTGAATTAAATCTTCTTTTAAGTGAAACTACACATGGCTCATCTCTGGCCAAATGAAGTCAATAATTCACTGGAAGAGTTTAGAACAAAGTTGTAACGTTTCGGCAATACAATCCAGAAAGTAACAGGTGCACATTAAATGATAAAAACAGTTATGCAAATTATTCTTACCCTTTCCTCTATTCTGCACCCTTACACTTAAGTAAAATTTGTAATAAAAAGCAAAATAATCTGCAGTATTAATAAAATCTCATCAATACAGTGCAGCAATACTAGCTCAGAGTAGTTATTTTTTGTTTTATTAGTGGACTGGGGCTCAACTAATTGAGAGCCTAACTTCTAATATAAAATTAAATATTGAATAAATACAACCTCAAAATAATGGTGAAGAATCCTATTGAATCCAGACATTCCACCCTCCTAATAATCTATTCAGAAGCTAACAGACCATTTATGATGCATGAAGGCCTGTTTTAGTCACAACATTTCTAATACCTCCAAAAATGAATAAAGATTAAATTTCCTATTATTTCTCATTTCTGTTTTTAGAAATGCTTCCAACATGACATAATCCTCATTTTACACATACCAGCTTTTTGAAAAGTGAAACACCCCACCCCCAACTACTCGTATTTGATAAACTGCTTTCCTGTGGTAGGATAATTCTGCTCAAAAACAAAACAGGACTCATCCTTTTATCAGGTGCCGAAAAAGAGCACTTGTCTACTTGGTTTAGCTATGCCACAGTAAATCCTCTTATCCTGAAACTGGGAAACTGCTAAAGAATGAGTTGTTTTATCCATCTGAATGAGGTACTTACTCCTCGAATCATTTCAAGCTATGCTGTTTGAAAGATATGACTATTTAGGAGAAATTGTGATGTGCATTGTGGAGTTCAGTAGTATTCCCCCATGCATGAAATGAAGTAGGGGTAGGTAATAAAACAAACATTTTTAGGAAAAGTAATTATTTTATGTTAGGCAACTTATTAGTTTTCTAAGTCCCAAGATGATGCTCAGTGAGTTGTAAACATTCCATCTTAAAAATTCTAACAGAATCTCCCCCAAAACAGAAAAGACAAATACTCTGAAAATGCAACAATCAAGACAGTCAGGGATTTTTATCCTAATTTCTTCTACTTATCTCCAAAATGAAACAGAAAAAAAGAGTATACTTCATCCAGTCATGGATGACACAGAAGAAAATAGGTCTTGCAAAGGAAAAATGCAAATAAGTATATGAAGCAGGTGGCAGCTGGGGTATTGAAGATGCTGGACACTATTTTTAAACCTTGCTTTCTTGCAAATTCTGAGGCAATTAAAAATAATAAGATAAATAGGTTAAAAATAATAACAGAAATATGTTTGTTTTATCACATTCTCACCAGCCCACTTGACTGAGGAGAAGGATTTAATAACAGCATTATACATCTGTATCAACTCACTGCCTGAGAGACACACAAGGCAGAGATTTACCCACAAGGCAGCAAAAAAAGACTCAGGGAAGACACCATTGTGGGAAAAAACCCCAAAAAACCAAACACAAAACTCAAAGGTGGCACACCCAGGAAGGGATGTTTCTAACCACCAAAATAAGGATGCAGTCAGTGCAGATAAGAAAGCAGCTCTTAAACTGAGCTCTTAGAAGCTTGGCAGAAAGCAAACCCAAAGCAGCATGGCTGTGCTGAAATGAAATGAAATTTTCACCACAGAATGGTTGTGGTGAAAAGTCTTCTCCTCTTCATGCTACCTGTTGGTAGTGCCATAGTTCACTAACCTCAAATTATGGTTTTATTAAATTATATATATTTATTTTATCAAATACCAAGCTCCTGACCCATATTAATGAATGGATTCTACACAAACTATGGAGGATCTCAGGCCTGTGGAAGCTGCAGGTATGAAAATGACACAGTCAAGCTCATATTCCCATATTCACAATTCCTGCCTACCCACCAAAAGGTTTCAGAGATAGATTCCCTAAAGCAACTCCAAGTATTGAATAAAACTAAATATTTAATGTTAATAAATATTGTACATTCCTTAGAATTAGGGCAATTTCTCCAAAACACACACATGTAATTCTAGAAGCATCAACCTTCAGTTCTGTCACTGTTCAGACTCACTACATCCCCTCCTTCCATCCAAGCAAATGCCCTTCATTTGTCCTTCAACATTCAGCTACTATTTTCAGGTTGTTCACAAAATAAAGGCAACAGAAACATCCCATGCACAATCAATCACAATTAAATAACCTTCAACTAGTCATCCTGCCTAAAATAAAACTCCAAAATATATTTGCAAATTGTATCTGAGAAGGCAACAGTCTGCAATCAGGACATGAGACGAACTTTAATTAAACACATCGCTATAATTTATTTGCACAGCTCTGAAATTGAGGCT